ATTTCGCAAGAACCATATTACAAGCACATATAAAGGGAGAATTGGAGAGAGAAACCAAGCTCCAATCTGGATGGTCCTCTCGCTCAAGCTGACCGGTCGGGAGGATAATTTAGCCTCAGCCATCACTTCGCTAAATGTCACGAGTTCAAAATACAGTCTCAAACATCAACCTTTTTTTTTTAGATCCTTCTATTAAAAAACAAGATCAATATATTAGCAAATTTAGCATGTATCAATCAAACAGATATATTTAGGATTTAAAATTGCATTCTGAAATTGTGATAACCAAATTATATATAATGGAGGGAATATGGCCCTTTATTTAGTCACAGAACAATAAATTGATATTTTACCTGCTCAGTAAAACGTAAGGGGTATGCATTCACAGACTAGGGGTACCGGATAGTTGTGCGGTAGACATTGAGCTGTGACGCACGTGAAGCTGATTGGTTGAGAAACAGAGATCCTCGTTTCCCGCTTCCCTGGCGATATGTTTTGTAGTCTTCTACTCTTCAGACTCACGTACATCATGGATACATTAATACGTTTATCTTTCTTACAAAAGCAAATTCTATGACATAAAAGGTTGTACTTACTACTATATGAAAAAAATACAGGTTCATAATAACTAAGACATATTAAACAGAATATCGCATTTAATGTAAAATATTCGTAAAATTAATTTTCTTCATATTTGAGCATGAAATGATATAAGGTCTTTTCGAAGTAGACTAATATTTGAACGCTTGCCAAATTACTCAGGCCTCGCTCACTCTCTCAGGGACGCGGAAGGAAGAATAACAAGTTTAAAGGGGCACACCGCAATGTGGGGAAAGGTTAAATAGTGTGCTACAGCATGTGCAGTTAAATAATATTTCAACAATGACCCGATTGAAAAATCGCTTTTGTTGCTACATGGACCAGTTTCTTTCTTTTGAATTTATTGAAGGAAATACCAGTGTGGTATCCGGTTAATGTTGTTTTTTCTACTGGCAGTCGTTTGTTTCCAAATCTTTCTCTTTTTGCTCGCTGTTAAAATTCAAAATCATAGTCAGCATGTCTTATATTGCGCGTTTCATACATTATTTAACCTTTGGGCGCCCTTATTACTCATAGTCATACTGGTAAATTAGTTCATGAATGTGTATTCTCTCATTATGTGGTGATATAGAGCCCTCTGAAGTGGCCTGTACGTATACATTTGTCACATTTCCCAGGCGGTAGTTTAAAACATGTATAGCGGGTATAGGCCTGTTATCAGTTTGCCCATATGTTCGTGTATCATGTCAATTGACCTAGGACTAGGCATGTTGGTTGTCATTTTCCCTTGTGTATCTGGTATATGTTTCATTATAATCATACAAAAAGTCAGTCTCTCTTTATATATGAACAAAGTTTTTGCTCCTGCTATCTCTCGCTTTCAACCCACCCAGTTTTTATCTCGTCCGATCTTATAGACATTTTTGTATAAAGATTATTTTTCCTACAAAAACGTCACATGCCCAATCTCTCTGACACTAGCATATCGTCTTAGGCCCGGTGTGATTGGCTGCTCAACATTTAATGCTTATTTCCTTTTACATATGTGTCATCTCTTGAAAAACATACGGACTCCATCAACCCGAATCGAAGACGATCCCTGAATAGCCCGTATACACTGGCGGCGCAGCACTATTCGTATTGCCAAGCATTTGTTATTGTATGAGGCGCGATGTGTGCTTCTCAATGCAGCATCTTCCATAACAAGCGGTGGAAAAGGTACTCACTTATCCAGTGGGAACGGCTTTTCTTTCTATAGCCTCACAAGGCAAAGTTTTGCATCTTGTTTGTCTCAACACGAGTTGTTCTCGAGTTCTCTCCAGAAGTTTTAGATGTCGCATTCTTTGCTAGCAGGGGCCGTACGCTGGGTCAGTCATGGGATCATCGAGACCACACACGCACACACACACTACATAAAAACAACCCATATGCCCCCCAACACTAGTTACGTTATATCACCCCTGGTAATTAAATGTTCTATGGGATCTTGTGTAGGCATGTTTAAATTTATCTGCGGTTATAAACGTGAATAACCAGTCTTCACAAATGAAGCATTGATTGAACAAAATTGTATAGTAGCCACATCGCAAATTTCGATTTGTTTTTTTTTAAAGAAAAATACGAGTCCAATGACAACGATGAAACCGTTTGACTAGCTACATGAATAGAAAATTCAGTCAACAAAAACCTCTGCTTTACTTTGTGTACGAAAGCAGAGTGCAGAGTAAAATTCGTCTCCATATTTTTATTTCATTTCTAGACGACATGCAAGCCTTTGGTTGGATCAGAATTGACATTACTAGGATCTTTTGTTGTGCCCTTCCAGTTTCCCAAAATGTCAGACACCAACCGGCGAAACGAGCCCCCTGCATGCATGCTGTGATAAACATCATGTCACATGATAAGCCATAGCTGATAATAATAATCGAAGCCAAGCCGCCATAACGGTCCTCGTTTTGCGCACGACTCCCCCAAATGTATGGACTGCCCGCGTATTCTAATTAGTTCTCAAGACAGACCCTGTTCATAAACTACGATAACCATATCAAACACATGTTTTGATCATGTAAAAGATACTAGACAGATACGTGTACATGACTTGTGTAAAATTTTGTATCCATTCTCTGGATGGCTTTATGTGTACTCGTATTTTATTAGAACTAATTGGTCTCCTTTAGACCTTTACTAATGTACTGTATGCTTGATTCTCTAAAGGACCCCATCTGCTATGTACAATTACATCTCTATGCTATTCCCACCATGCATACATTATCTGTTGTTATATATAGCTGGCAAACTTTGGAGTCAATTGTCAAGGGAATTTTTTTTTAGAGAAGCATGCATAAATTAGTAAACAGGTCTTCTGTAAAAATTAATTAAAAATATTGAGAGCCTCCAAGGTTGCATATGTATTTTCATAGTTAATGTATTGGTGCGTGTGTAAATTGAAAATAAAAGGTTTGAATCGACAGAATGAACCCTGCCGATGTTATTGCATTCCGTGAGAAAATAATCATTTTATAACTGGAATCATAGTCAACAAATCAACTGTCATTATTGTCGTGTTTGTTTTTTTCGTCTACTGCAGACTTGTCACCTAAAACGTGCGTAGTTTAATAGACCAGTTTCACGTTAGCACATTACTGCAATGACCCCGATATCCACAGATCTTAAAAACATGAAGAGTCCCACTTTTTACATTTTGAAATAATCACTCCTACAGCGATGGAGGTGCTATATAAATAGTCTTTGTTTCCCTTTTCAAAGAATACTTCCACCTGTGTATCATGGATGGCACTGAATGTGCATAAATGAATACTGTTAATAACTTTCATGAACACGTATCCAGTATTTCGTCTCCGTGTATTTCAAAATTTGTTCTGCAATGACCTTTATCTGCTCATGCTCAGACTGCAACCGTGAACTGGCTTTTTGTATGATTGATTCTTCATGACGTTGCATATATACAAGGATAGTCTCATCTTTGAAAAGCTTTATAAGATGAAAAAAGAACAGTCTAGAACAAAATCATGAAGCGGAAATGTCACTGAAACGAGCAAGCCTTGGTTTTTCACTATTTATCAAAAATTCAAATCAACATGGAAAACATAGAAAGGGAGAACTAGTATGAGTGTGGGAGTAGACGGCCATGACTCTAAAATAAAACAGAAAAAGGCAAACAAAAATAAATACAAACAAAAAGACAATCCGGAACAAAAAACAAAACATTTCCAAACAGAAACAAGAATCAAAGAGTCATGGTTCTGACGAACAACAATTATCAAATTAGTATCTCACATAAAATAAAATGATATACTTCAACCAGTTCAACTCAACATGAAAATATTGTTTTTGATAGATTCATACTAATTTCAAACAGGGCCCTAAAAGTGAAGCAAAGAGTGAATGTTCACTTTATTTTCACTACATTTTCACTCTCCAAAAGAGTGACGTCAGTGATCACTCGATTTTTTTTTTTAGAGAGTATTAATATAGGCCTAATATGAAAATGAAAATTGTTCCTGCTAGGATTCATGGAGACCCTGCATTCTCTTTGTGTAGATTTTGGAAGAAATGTCTGAACTTCCCTAACTGACATTAAATGCACAACTAAAAGAAGCTATAAAAACATGACGTGTCCATATTATTCCACACTTTTGAAGAAAAAAAATGAAGACGATTTGAATTTACAAAGCTCTTTCGGCGGGTGTTTTTGTGAATAACAGACCTGTTTTACTAACACGTTCAAATTTTATGCATACTTTTTAAACAAAGGTTGTTCTTGACAACCTGAAAGCATGCCCGAAGCTTGTCCGACATAGCAACACGTGATGTCTGCAGAATAAATTCCAAGTATTGTATATTCCATTCATGAATAACAGGTTAAATGGAATCAGCTAGTCATTAGGTAGTGTAGGTTGCCAGAAAAGAAACATCCATACACTTGAATATTTTAGTGTGTGTGTATATTTATTGAATAGTTTTTTTTTTAACTGTAGCGTGTAAAACGAAGTTACTCCTGTTTGTTCTATACAAGCCCCGTTTTTGTTATAGAACACTCTGTAGACTGCAGTGATACAGAATACACATTTACAATTAAACGTAGGCCTATAGACCGACAGAGAGACTTTAAGTTCAAGCCCTTGCGTGAGACGTACAATCTGTGTAAGATATAATGATAAGAACACATGTTTTTGACTCATAAGTTATTAATAACATTCGACGTGGCAAGTGTAGATTAGCGTACGATTCAGACCTTTAGTCCATTTTTTCTTCAAAATTTAACGTGAAAATTAAATACATCCATGTACAAACACATAACCGAAACGCCCCCAACATAATAGAAACTTACAATGATTATCATGATTATTAATATTAATTACAACATATCATTAATAGTTAAAGATAATCATATATTATTATATATATTTTGTGTTATAATATATCATACAACTAATTTT